GAAAATCAAAAACATGTCGAAAATCACAATTAACGTCACCCTTAACATCAACGATCAATTCAATATAATTGTGCATAAAAATCGGCAACTCGTTGATGAATTGGATTTTTGGTAAAGGCGGTGAAGGAGGTGGTTTTCTAATGTGAGCTCATTTGAAAATACGTTTATGAGATTTTAGAATTGGAGAATCCATAAATTTTTTGTCAACATGTTCAAAATAGGAAGGAGACAACATCGTTGAATTGTCACCCGATGTTGATTTTACCTTTTATGAGCACCTTTTTTTACTGGTTGAGACGGTGGTTTCAAATCAATGGTTTCTTGATAAGAAATCTTCCTCATTTTCTATTTGATATGGAGTTTCATATCATCTCTGACTTTCAAAGTTTTCTCTTGTATCACTTCCCATTCGGTCAAGATAGAGATATTCAATTTACCTTCCTTCATCACACCATCATAATCAAACCTGAGTCTTTTCTAGTGAGTGTAAACCTCATCCATTCGTATTATGCTATCATGTTTCACATTATTTGAAATTAGATAAGCATATGGGAGACCATATGTTTTTCTAAGTATACAACCACACTTTTAGCTACCGGAACCTGCATTAAAGCTCATTTGACTTCGTAAAAAATAAAATCCAATCTTTTTCAAGATATTTTGCCGATCAACTGAGAATAGAGATTTTTTTATTTGAATCTATGTTCTGACACTATGATGATGCGGTCAAATGATATATGTATCTCATTATGTTGATTTTGAATCATTTGATTCACATATTCTCAATCTCTACACAAATCACTCTTACTATTTTCTAACCAATTATTCAGTGTAGTATGGGCAGACTCAACTCACTTAGTTGTTGTATTTTTAAGGTGTCTAACCTGATTGGTCCAAGCACAAACAATATTTTTCTTCATCTGATCCAGAATTGTACTTTCAACATATTTCAATAAATTTGGATATTTCTCATATGCCTTTCTAAAATGTATAAGAACATCGACATATAATTCTTTTGTTGAAGAATTTATTATAACATTCCATGCATCCCTTATTCTTTCTAATATGATGATAACTTCCATCTCCGCCCTTAATTTGTTTCGTCCCTATCGCGTGTTTAACATGACTTCTCACTTTCTTTATGATGTGATACCTATAAAGTAATGTGTATGAAGTAGGAAAAACCTTTGCAATCGAATTCATCAATGCGGTATTGCGGTCGGTGACGATGGCTTTCAACATGTCTTCTTTATCTGACACACTTATAAAGCCCAAGTAACATTTCCCTTTTCTCACTCTCCAAAGTACAAACCCGACAGAATAAGTCTTCTCAGTAGAGGTAACACCAACAATTTCCAATAGTGTAAGCCTATACTTGTTGGTATTATATATTTAATTAGTGATGCACACAATAGAAAACGTGTTAAACAACTTTATAGAATCCGGATGAGTCTAAAATATATCCCGAACGGTTACTCCATCCTCGCACGTTTAGTATCTAGATATATAATTGTTATCATCCTGAAGTTTTAACAGTTGTTACATTTCAGTTCTAGCCCTATGATCCTCTTCTCCTTTACCGAGAAAATCAAAAACAGGTCGAAAATCACAATTAACGTCACCCTTAACACCAACGATCAATTCAATATAATTGTGCATAAAAATCGACATCTTGTCGATGAATTGGATTTTTGGTAAAGGCGGTGAAGGAGGTGGTTTTCTAATGTGAGCTTATTTGAAAATACGTTTATGAGATTTTAGAATTGGAGAATCCAGAAAAATTTTGTCAACATGTTTAAAATAGGAAGGAGACAACATCGTTGAATTGTCACTCGATGTTGATTTTACCTTTTATGAGCACCTTTTTTTACTGGTTGAGACGGTGGTTTCAAATCAGTGGTTTCTTGATAAGAAATCTTCCTCATTTTCTATTTGATATGGAGTTTCATATCATCTCTGACTTTCAAAATTTTCTCTTGTATCACTTCCCGTTTGGTCAAGATAGAGATATTCAATTTACCGTCCTTCATAACACCATCATAATAAAACCTGAGTCTTTTCTAGTGAGTGTAAACCTCATCCATTCGTATTAGGCTATCATGTTTCATATTATTTGAAATTAGATAAGCATATGGGAGACCATACGTTTTCCTAAGTATACAACCACACTTTGAGCTATCGGAACCTGCATTAAAGCTCATTTGACTTCGTAAAAAATAAAATCCAATCTTTTTCAAGATATTTTGCCGATCAACTGAGAGTAGAGATTTTTGTCTTTGAATCTATGTTTTGACACTATGATGATGCGGTCAAATGATATATGTATCTCATTACGTTGATTTTGGGATTCATATATTCTCAATCTCTACACAAATCACTCTTACTGTTTTCTAACCAATTATTCAGTGTAGCATGGGCAGACACAACTCACTTAGTTGTTGTATTTTAAGGTGTCTAACCTGATTGGTCCAAGCACAAACAATATTTTTCTTCATCTGGTCCAGAATTGTACTTTCAACATATTTCAATAAATCTAGATATTTCTCATATGCCTTTCTAAAATGTATAAGAACATCGACATATAATTCTTTTGTTGAAGAATTTATTATAATATTCCATGCATCCCTTATTCTTTCTAATATGATGATAACTTCCATCTCTGCCCTTAATTTGTTTCGTCTCTATCGCGGGTTTAACATGACTTCTCACTTTCTTTATGATGTGATACCTATAAAGTAATGTGTATGAAGTAGGAAAAACCTTTGCAATCGAATTCATCAATACGGTATTGCGGTCGGTGATGATGACTTTCAACATGTCTTCTTTATCTGACACACTTATAAAGCCCAAGTAACATTTCCCTTTTCTCACTCTCCAAAGTACAAACCCGACAAAATAAGTCTTCTCAGTAGAGGTAACACCAACAATTTCCAATAGTGTAAGTTTATACTTGTTGGTATTATATATTTAATTAGTGATGCACACAATAGAAAACGTGTTGAACAACTTTATAGAATCCGGATGAGTCTAAAATATATCCTGAACGGTTACTCCATCCTCGCACGTTCAGTATCTAGATATATAATTGTTATCATCCTGAAGTTTTAACAGTTGTTACATTTCAGTTCTAGCCCCCCCCCCCCCCCCCCCCCCCCCCAACGCCTTGTTGTTATGGACACAAATATTGTACACTTGTTTTATATTTGAGATACTTCTAAGTCTTTTGTGTTTCAAAGTTGCAAGTATATTTTTAGGTTGTACCATATCCAATGCCATGTCTGAAACATTTTCCTTTTCTTTTGGAATAAGGCGACATGCAATTGAATGTCTGGCTAACTTGTCACACATGTCATGGTTATGTAAACCATAAATCACATCAATTTTCCATTTGTTATTTGATAAAAAATAATCACGAAACTTAAAGGAACACTCACATTTTCTCAAACACGTGTCATCTAATTTGAATTTCCGAAGAAGAATTATATGCTTCCCACTTCTTGCTCATCTCATTGTCACAAATGTAACTCTTCTATCCAAACCATCATCAGACCTTTCTATTACAACACCAAACCCTAATTTAGATGCATCTGTGCAAATATATTGAAGCATATGGTTACCAACATCTACCACATTCACATCAACACGTTTGAATTCTATCAGAAAATATTCAAAAATATAATGAAATGAACACATAAGTATTCCAAAAATGCACTTCTGTAGGAGCTCATACAGACTCTGAAAATGCATTTCCGGACGCAACATAACTTTTACAGCACAAAAACAAAATTAATGTGAGGAATGAGGAATGAATTAAATGATATATACCTTAAATTTCAGCTTTTTTTCCTCCTTTTGATACGATGAAACAAGACTGGAGTTTTAGAATAGAAATCTTGATTTAGAATGAAAAGATTTTTTGTAAGGGTTTGAGAAAAAATGGTTATGTGTTTGATCATGCAGATTTTTTCTATTTTATTAAAAATCATATTTGACGTTTTCGAAAATGTATTTCCAGAATTGACTGACATGCAAATGTGGCGGCAGGTTTTCAAATTCCCGTTTCACAAATTCGAAAATATACTTTCAGAATAGTCACTGATTGGTTAAATTAGGAATAAACTGTTAGAGTGAGTCTAGAGATTCATCTTCAGAATAAATTTTAGAGAAAAAAAAGGGTGAGACTCGGTTGGAACGTGTTTAAGTAAGGCTCATTGTGTGTTCAGAGAAGCATTTTTAAAATCCAATAAATATTTTCAAATTTTAGTAAGATGCACCACATATGGAGGTTAGCAATTCCGGCCAAATAAAAGGTTTACTAAATACGGCAATTTTAGAGGTCAAATAAAAAGTATTAAATCACATAATCATAATAAGAGGTGTGTTTGGATTGACGACAAACAAAATTGATTCAACATAATTGAATTTTGTAAAATCGATTTTAACAGAATTGAATTTAGTATAAGTGAGTTGAACAATAAAATCAATTTTTAAGACATAATCAATTTCACAACATAACTAAACATGTTAAAATCATTGCAAAATCAATTCTATACTCAAAAGTAATTTTACTACTTTTAGAATTGAAACCAAACCTTGCTAAGTGGGAGGCTTACTAAATACTCGGTTTTTTTATTTAGTATTTGACATCGGGCTAGAATATCTAGGTGGCCAAGGACATTTTGCATTTGGATTTGCATAAAGAAAAAGCTTTTGAACCAAGTGCAGCACCCGACTATCCATACGATTGGTGTCTTTCTACTTCAGCATGAAATTTTATTTCTCAGTATAAACTTTTGCACTTACACATCATCAATTGCATCTATAAAACCTTATAATGCATGACACATGTATAAAGAATCAGAACAAAAAAATATGGATTAGTAAACATGACTCAAATAAGTAGAGTCACCCCTTCTATAAAAATCAATCCTAGTTATAACCAGTACTAGAAGTAAAATTTCATGGCAAAACTCTAAAATCCAATCCAAAAATGCAAAAAATCACTCATAAAATTGTTTACCAAATAGCTTCAAGAAGAACATAGCCATAAATACCATTAACAGAATATAGTGTCTCATCACCATTGCCACATATGCAAGATAGATTTTATGCTTGGAGTCTAAATAGCCATCCACGTTTCCTATCATTAGACATGGCCATAAACATTTCCCTCCAGTCAGGATCCTTAAATTTTTCCAAGGCTTTCCCATAAATGTCATCTGAAATATCTTTTATCTCTTCAAGAGCAACCACACACTTAGTAAGAGAACAATCTAATGTTACATGTGAAGAAGTAATCTCCACATTCTTACCACATGTAAGTGCGTCTTCTATCTGACAGGATATAGACTCTTTTCTAGATGTATGGTCTTTAACTTGACTTTTTTTGCTTCCCCCTACATTTGATGTGCTCCGCCTCTTCTATATCATTGTATGAATTGTCATTATCAGCATGTAATGGGGACACAACCTGGAGGCAGCCATGATAATAGATCAAATTGTTAGAACTTTAATTAATTGAAACTCAAAGAAAGAACTAAACAAATTTGGACTGAATGACTCAAGTTTTATTAACTGCAGTATCGGCTTAAATAGCCATTGAACACACGATAAAAGATAAATAACTGAAAGCTATCAATCATGCTAAAATAAAGGCTGATAATGCTAAGTGGTTGCACAAATTAAGGAAAGCAGAATTCAAATAAAGACTAAGTCAATCCTATAAAGTAGGACTTTTATTCTAACTAAAATTATGCAGTAACTCTTTCATTCCCTCCCTTAAACTAAATGTTCTGCAGCAACTAGTTTATGTCAGGAATTTCACATACTCCCAACATCTTTCTAAGCTTCAGAAAAACATCAAGCTTCCATGGTTTGGTCATTATGTGTGCAACTTGATCTTCACTCCCACAATGAACTAGTTCAATTGTACCCCCTCTAGTAAGATTCTTTAAGAAATGAAGTCTCACATCAATATGTTTGCTGCGCCTGTGCGTAACAGGATTTTTAAACAGCTTGATGGTAGAACTATTGTCACACATTACGGTTATACCATCTCCATGAGAATGTCCCAGCACCTCTAAAATTCTCTTCATCCAGATTCCTTGACACACACATGTTGCAGCAGCCACAAACTCGGCTTCTGTTGTTGACAAAGTCACAATAGACTGTTTTTACGAACACCATGAAACAGCCCCTGAGCTCATTAAAAACACATAACCGGATGTACTCTTCCTATCATCCACATCTCCAACATAGTCGCTATCTGTAAATGCTAACAGCTCGTCATCTCCTCCTTTCTTATAATGAAGTCCATAATTCAAAGTCCCTTTTAAATATCGAAGTGCTCTCTTAGCCAATTGTAGATGAATTTTGCATTGGTTTGACCACATATCTACTTATGAGACAAGTAACAAACATGATGTCAGGTCTCGTGGCAGTGAGGTACATTAAGCTTCCCACCAACTGCTTGTAGTATGTTTCATCAACAGTTTTTCCATTTCCATCTTTACTTACTTTAAATCCTGGAACTATTGGACTGCACACTGAGTTGCTTTCCATCATGCCAAACCTATGCAAAATTTCTAATGCATATTTCCTTTGACATATATATATATATACCATCAGACTTTTGCAATACCTCTATCCCAAGAAAAAATCTCATCTTACCCAAGTCTGACATATCGAACTCTCTTAACATAGAGCTTTTAAATTCAGACATCATAACTCACAATTTCCAGTAAAAATTAAATCATCAACATAAACACTTATAATTATAATTTTTCCTTCTTTGTTTCTCTTTGTGAATAATGTCTGCTCACTATCACACCTCTGAAATTCTTCACCAATGAAACGTGCTTCGATTCGACTAAACCAAGCTCGTGGTGCTTGTTTTAATCCATACAAAGCTTTGTGTAACTTGTAAACAAGATGCTCACTGCCCTCTTTTTCATATCCTCTTGATTGTTCCACATAAACATCTTCACTCAGCTCACCATAAAGAAAAGCTGACTTGACATCCAATTGAAAAATCTGCCAATTCTTATATGCCGCCAGAGCAACAATCATTCTCATTGTATCCATCCTTACCACTGGTGCATAAACTTCTGTGTAGTCCACTCCATGCTTTTGAGAATACCGTTAGCGACCAAACGAGCCGTGTACTTGTCAATTTTTCCATGTTCATTGTATTTGGTTTTGTACACCCATTTTACTCCAATTATTTTGGCCCCAACAGGTGGTTCAATTAGTGTCCATGTAAGGCTCTTTTCAATGGATTTGATTTCATTATCCATGGCCAATTTCCAATTTTTACTCTTCACAGCTTCCTCAAAACACAATGGATCGGTTGACACCATAAAGCCAAGTGAGCTTCATCTTCGGACAAACCTTCGCCACTAACATAATCATCCATATATGCAGGAGGTCGCCTCACTCTCTTTTCACCATCACCATAATCATCCCCCATTTCTCCAACTCCCTCGTCACGGGTTTCACCAATCTCCCTGTCAATATTTTCTTCATTATGATTTTCACTTGTTATTTCTTCGTTCTCATTTTAACTTGCCATTTCTTCCCATTCTAAATCCAGTACAGATTGTTTTTCATTCCAATCCCATTTCCTTTCCTCCTCAAAGATGACATCTCTACTCACGAAAACCTTTTTAGCAACCGGATCAAACAACTTATATCCTTTTGATTCTTGACTAATTCCCAACAAAACACATGTAAGACTTCTATTGTCAAGTTTAGTCCTCCTTGATTCTGGAACATAAGCGTGTGCTATGCACCCAAATACCCGAAAGTGATCAACTGAGGGTTTTACTCCACTCCAAGCCTCCTCTGGTGTTACATCCTTGACTGCCAAAGTGGGACACCTGTTTAGAACATAAACAGTCCAGTTCACCGCCTCTGGCCAGAATGTTTTTGGAATATTTTTACCAGATAGCATGGAGCGAACCATGTTCATAACAGTTCTATTTTTCCTTTCGGCAACGCTGTTCTGTTGCGGAGTATAAGCAGTGGTTAGTTGCCTCTTAATCCCACTTTGTTTGCAAAAATCATTGAATTCATTTGAATTAAATTCACCTCCTTTATCAGTGCGTAGACACTTAATAGATTTCTATACTTCCTTCTCAACCATGATTTTAAAGCATTTGAAATAATTTAAAGACTCAGACTTTTCTACCAAAAAATACACCCATGCTTTTCTACTATAATCATCAATGAATAATAGGATGTACCTTTTGTTGCTGTTAGATATGGGACTGATAGGACCACAGATATCCGAATGAATGAGTTCTAACTTCTGCGTTGCTCTCCAATTACTCTTCCTTGGAATTGAATCACGATGTTGCTTTCCGTTGATGCAATCAACGCATGTTACAGTGGAGATAGAGAGTTGAGGAAGTCCATGTTCTTGTGCAGCAATGTTTTGAGGCCTTTATAACTTAGACGCCCATACCGATGCCAGAGATGCGACAATTCTTGAGATTTTGTGTGAAAGCACTGATCAGATTTTGCTTGTGGAGAGGCTTGAGTTTGGGGCAGCAAGATAAACATCTTATTGGCACTCATGTTGGTTTGAATAATCAAACCTTTCTCTGGATGAAATATCTTGCAACTTCCTCCCTTGATCAGAATTGTCAAATCTTTTTCTTGCAACTGCCCAATACTTAAGAGATTATTTTTCAAATCTGGAATATAGTATACTTCAGTAACAACTAGATTCATTCCATTTAGCAGCAGCTTCACACTTCCTTTTCCCATCACATCCATCTTAGTGTTGTTTCCCAATTTTACAGAATGTCGGAATGTTTCATCAAGATCATTGAACATAGTTCGATCACCGCACATATGATTAGAGCATCCTGAATCAAGGAACCATGTATCTTGTCTTTCAGCTTCATACAGCTCCACATAAGACATCAAAAGCATTTCTGTTTCTTCATCAAATTCTACATAATTAGCTTCTCTGTTGCGAGGACATTCATAACGAAAATGTCCAAGTCGATGACATTAGTAACACTCTATGGTTGACTTGTTGAAATCTGCTCGACCTCTACCTCTTCCCCTTCCTCTGTAAGCAACTCGACCACCGTCTCTTCCCCCTTCATATGTAACTTTCAAGGCTTGTTCGTCGCCACTGAGTCTTTAGAACTTCTTCTCATGCACTATTAATGAGCTTTGTAACTCATCAATAGAAAGATCATCGATGTCCTTTGACTCTTCAATAGAATAAACAATATAGTTAAACTTCTCAGTTAGAGAGCGTAGAATCTTTTCAACCACTTTAACGTCACATCTCCTCCCCATAAATTCGCATTTTATTGACCTCTGTCATAACCCTTGAAAAGTATTCTATCTATTACACCTTCACTGGATTTCATCTCAAGAGTTTCAAATTCTCTGCGGAGAGCTTGAAGATGAGACATTTTGACCCTTGCATTTCCTTCAAACTTTTTCTTCATAGCATCCCATATCTCTTTAGAAGTATCCTTCTTAAGGGTGGTGTCGAGAACAGTTCGATCAATCGCCTGAGATAGTTCTTTGTTTTGAGATCCTTCAACTTTATCTCATCGTTCTTCTTTCGTTGTGCTTCTGTTGGTACCAATCCACTTGCTGGCTCAACATAGCCAGGCTCGATTAGCTCCCAATATTCCTTTGATCTGAGGAAATTTTCCATTGGCATGCTCCAATGGTCATAATGACCATCAAAGCCGGAATTGCGGGTTGTACAAAACTCCCTTCTGTAGTCATTTTTTTTTTTTTTAGAATATCAAAGACTACTACTTTGATAGATCAGGCCCAGTGGAGGCTCTGATACCAAATTGTTAGAACTTTAATTAATTGAAACTCAAAGAAAGAACTAAACAAATTTGGACGGAATGACTCAAGTTTTATTAACTGCAGTATCGGCTTAAATAGCCATTGAATACACGATAAAAGATAAATAACTGAAAGCTATCAATCATGCTAAAATAAAGGCCGATAATGCTAAGTGATTGCACAAATTAAGGAAAACAGAATTCAAATAAAGACTAAGTCAGTCCTATAAAGTAGGACTTTTATTCTAACTAAAATTATGCAGTAACTCTTTCACAAATCATATCTTATATCAATTTTGTTCAATTAATCATTAAGCAATCAATGATGGAGTAATGTTTATTATAGCAACACCTACGAGCAAATCATGCCCTCTATCAATTTAGTATACTTTATAGAAAGTGCAATTAATCTACATGATTAATAACAATGTGATTTTATTATAACAATAATTAATAATAGACTCATATCAATAACATAAAGATTTTATTATAGATGGCTTTGTCATCATTTTAGTAAATTGTCGACAAGGATTCCTACAATAATCTAACATGCTGCCTCATTCTCAAATATCATAAAAATGGAAATTTCTGCATGAGAACAGCAAATGGCACCAAAAACTCAGTAAAAGAAACTCAAAAGGGATCAATCAAAATGCATGTAAGGAATGTTACCTCTTTAGCACGACAAAGATGAAGATTGGGAGGTGCAGCAGAGGCTGAGAGAGGTGCGGCAGGCAGAAGCATGTGAAGCAGAGGAGGATGCAGGTGCAGCAAATTTCGAATGATATTTGATAATCTTTGCGCCCTTTATAGATTCTTCAAACTATTTAGTAATGACTAATCACAAACTCTTTTGATAGTTGTTTCATTTAAATTTATCTAAATTCAGATTATCAACAAAAAAAAACACACACTAGGCTAACTTATGGTTTTTAAATATCTACCTGCTCAAGATCAAAACAACCTCGGATATTTGTTCTGATGTTAACTTCCACCGACGGGGAGTTTTGCCGCAAGAAGTCAACTATTCCATCAGGTATAGGAGGTGGTTCCAAACCTGCTTTAAATGCCTTTCTCAATTTAGCAACTTCTTTATGTGACCTGGCAGCCGCTTTCGTTAACATAGCATCTTTCATTAATTGAAACAATGTTCCACCATGAAGGGGTATGAGTTTTATTTCCAATGACTTCAAGTTACACAAAGAAAGTAGCTTAACCTCCAATAAATCAGGGACTAAGGAGAGAATCTAAGCAAAAAGGAATGACTGTGAACTAATTCTTGTAAAAGTATTTAAACATAATTTATAAATATTTGAAACAAACATAATCAAAGATTTTTATGGTAATATTTCTGAGAGTAAACTTAAAATTCATAAAACAAACATCCACTTATGAATGGTATATTGCCTATTTCACTTGTTCACAAGTAGAATTAGTCTGAAAAGAAACTCAAGTATCACAATACTTGTCAAATATTCTGGAACCAAGCTGAGCACAGGTCCCATGCTAGCATAATTGTATAATTAAGAGATAAGACATGCTTCAAGTCATGATTAACAAGTAGATGGAAATTTTTTATTTCTTTCACGTTTCTCCCACCCTTTTATGACTACCTGTTTATTTATATAATTATTAAAACAAAATAAGCCAATGGGACCATGAGGACATTAGCCACAATAATTTATTTACATGCATTGTGTAAAATTATTATTGTTCATTCATGTGGGGGGCTAGTCATTTCACAAACCTCTTTAGATATTTTATCACCACACTTTTGAAAAAAATGTGTGTTATATCGGTGTGTCTTTAATGATTACAGTTAATTTATTTATTTTTTAAATTTACTATTCAGTATCGTTATGTCAATGTCGATTATTGTCTATTTAACCAAACCTTGGCCGTTGAATTATATACCGCATATACCATATAGAACTGCTAACAAATGATAAAGCTAGTACATTGCACTGCTTATTGTTGGATATAATGAACATGTTTAGGCCACATTTATCCATCATATGATGCTATAAATATTTAAGGCATTTTTTTCCAACATAAATGACGTGCTACATATTATTCAAATGATAAAAATATATGATATCTCACTTACAAGTTGAAAATAATCATGTAACTCCTACTGTTTAGCTCAAAAGGGTCCCATATGAGCTTGCACAATTTGATCAAGTCAATAAAATTCCCTTTAAGGCCTTTATTCAATTCACCAACTATTCAATTTATTTATATCTAATTGGATCATAGCAAAAAATGCCATAAAATATCAGTTTCCCAAAAGAAAGAAGGAAAAAAATGGTAGCTGTTTTCAACAAAGAGCTCTTGAGCTGGTACCTTATCACCCTTAAACTCAGAGAAACCTTAGAATCAGGGATTCCACCGTCGTCTCGATCGATCGAGTTACCTCAGCAGCAGCCGCAGCAGCAACAGAAGCTTGAGCATCAACCTGCAGAATCATTGCAGGTTTTTCTTACCAACCAAGATGGTGAAAATTTGCAAGAGGAAGCCAGCACGCCGGAATCTGAATGGGTGATTTCCATCAAGGAAAAACTCGAGGAGGCGAATCAAGACGATGTAGCGAGTTCATGGACCAAGCTATCAATCTATAAAGTCCCTCATTACCTTAGAGATTGTAGTGGCGACGACAAAGCATATGCACCACAGATTGTGTCTATAGGACCTTACCATCATGGCAAGAAACGTCTTCGACAAATGGAACGTCATAAATGGCGTTCCATTAATCATGTCCTTAAGAGGACGGAACATGGCATTAGGATTTATCTCGATGCAATGAAAGAGATGGAAGAAAGAGTGAGATCGTGTTACGAAGGAATGGTTGTCGGGTTAAGCAGTAATGAGTTTGTGGAAATGTTGGTTCTTGATGGTTGTTTTGTGCTTGAGCTATTTAGAGGAGCTACAGAAGGATTCAAGGAACTTGGTTATTCGAGAAACGATCCTGTTTTCGCGATGCGTGGATCGATGCACTCAATTCAACGAGATATGATCATGCTAGAAAATCAGCTTCCTCTTTTCATATTAGATTTGCTTCTGGGAATTCAGCTTGGTAAACCAGATTTGAAAGGACTTGTTGCGAATCTAGCACTCAGATTCTTTGACCCTTTAATGCCAACAGATGAACCATTAACAAAAAGTGATATAAATAAACTGGAATCAACATTTAGAAAAAGCACTACCGCTGAGACTTTTGATCCTTTATCCGATCAAGGCGGTCTTCACTGTCTCGATGTATTCAGGAGAAGCTTATTGCGCACGGGACCTCAACCGGCGACTAGAATATGGATCAAACGCAGGTCGAATGCTAATAGAGTTGCAGACAAACGGCGCCAACAACTGATACATTGTGTCACCGAGCTAAAAGAGGCTGGAATCAAGTTCAAAAAACGGAAAACCGATCGCTTCTGGGACATTAAATTTAAAGACGGAATTCTACGAATTCCGCGACTCTTGATACATGATGGTACAAAATCTTTGTTTCTAAACCTGATTGCATTTGAGCAGTGTCACCTTGATTGTAGTAATGACATAACATCTTATGTTATCTTCATGGACAACTTGATTAACTCTCCGGAAGATGTCGGGTACCTTCATTACCACGGCATAATCGAACACTGGCTCGGAAGTGATGCAGAAGTCGCAGATCTTTTCAACCGGTTATGCCAAGAGGTTGTGTTTGACATCAATAACAGTTACCTCTCTCCTTTATCAGAGTCAGTGAATAGATACTATAATCATAGGTGGAATACTTGGTGTGCAAGTTTGAGACACAATTACTTCAATAATCCATGGGCCATTATCTCTTTTGTTGCTGCTGTTGTCTTGTTGCTACTGACTTTTGCACAAACCTATTACAGTGTTTATGGATATTATAGACCAGCACAGTAACTGGTATACAAATAACTTTGAAGGCTCTTTTTCATTTCACATTTATCAATACATTTCCTATTATTGATTCTTTCTTAAGTTTGAGATGTTGATGTGTTTGTGTTATTTCAAGAATGAAGGCTAGCAATGAGTTTGGATTTGGAAGGTTGAAGAGTGGAGACTAGAAATTTGTTTGGATTTGGAAGGTTGAAGAAGTATTTGTTATTTGATTTATTTTGGTACAGAAGATACTGGCTAGTGACTACTACTGTTATACAAATTCCAGTTGTGATGAAATGCTTATCAAACAACCCCAGCTTAGTTGCATAAAAAGCTTTTATTTCATATTTTACTAGTGTGATGCTTTGATTATTTTAAATTTTTGAAACGATGAATAATGTCTTTTTGAAGTATAATCCAAATAACTAGTGTGTATGTTCAAATACTGAGACAATTTGATCTGTAAATTGATTTTAGTTAAATATGAGTTAAATGTAATTAATTTATCTAAAAGTGAATTGGACAATAATTTGAGTGTAAAGTTTATGTTTGAATATTTTTTTAGTTTGGTCGAAAATAACTACTAAATACTCACACATGCAACCTAAAAACTCACTCATATATGACACATACAATCCTAGTATCAAAATTTAAACCCTAATGATGGTGTCAAACCTAGTAATATCAGTGAATTATGATTTGTGGACATATTAATTTGAAATTAAAATCAATTCAAAGAAAAAATCAATTCTTTTAAAAAACACTCAAAGATATCAAACTTGCTTCTACAATTCTAGAATCAATTTTGATACATTCAAAAGTAGAATTAATCATATATAAACATATACACTCGTAATGAAACCAACACATTGAATCTCATGTTTTTTTCAATGGTTGGCAAAAAAACCCTTGGTGGACATATTCAAAGGGTGAAATTAGAAGGTCTAAACAGCTACACTAAACCACAAATAATTAAACAAGATTAACTTTTATGCAGCAAATAATCATATGCCTTTAAAAATAGTTTTGATTTAAGTAAAATATTTTCAATGATTTTGATTAATTGATAATATAAAAAACTTTTACACTAAAAGTGTATATAAATTACTCTCTCTATTTTAAAATGATTGTCGTTTTAACAAATAAATTTTATTTCAAAATGACTGGTATTTTCACTTTTCACTGTAGTAATGATTATTATTTTTTCAATTATACCATTTATTTTTTAATCTCTACACTATTAGATATGTAAATATAGAAAGATTATTATTAGTATTGATTACCAATGATTATTAGAATCATAACCACATATTTGTACTGTGTATATAAATGACTATCACATGAATGAAAAGGACGGCCTAAATTATCTTACATGGTATCAGTTTTGGTTTGTTCCAAACCCTAAAATCAGCCGTAAACCTTCTTCCTTTCTATCCCTCATTCTTTTTCTCTTCAACTACCGCGAAACAGCCATGACTACCACTTCTGATTCCTCTAACAACAACTCTTCCCCGAAATCATCCGGTCATACCGACCCTCCTCCACCACCTACCACTCCTACACCGATTCACCCTGCTCTCACTGTCCCAAATATTACTAATTTCATCAAGATTACTCTGAGCATTGAAAAGGGCACGTATAATACGTGGTCAGAACTTTTCAAAATTCATGCTCGAGTTTTTCAAGTAATTGACCATATCAATCTCTCTGAACCAGCCGCAGATCCCTCTCTCAAAACTACCGATCCACAGTTATGGCTTCGTCTCGACGCCGTCATTTTGCAGTGGATATATGGAACAATCTCCGATGATCTTCTCAACACTATCATCGAACATAATTCCACCGCTGAAATCGCGTGGAATCGCTTATTCGACATCTTTTATGATAACAAGAATTCTAGGGCTCTCTACCTAGAGCAAGAATTTTCGCAAACTCATATGGAGCAATTCTCTGATGCTTCCTCCTACTGTCAGCATCTCAAATCTCTCTCTGATCAACTCGCTAATGTTGGTGCCCCTGTATCGAATGAACGTTTAGTTCTTCAACTCATTTCGGGACTAATCGATGCATATGCTACTGTGGGATCTCAAATTCGTCATGCTGATTCACTTCCTCAGTTCTATAAAGCTCGTTCCATGATCATTTTGGAAGAAACAGCACTGTAGAAAAAGGTGTCAAGCTCAGTCGAAAATTCATCTTTCATGGCGTCTCACAATGACGCATCAGTTAATTCATCGGCATCCCG